TGTCGCGCGTCGCCGTCTAGAGAAGCAAAACATCATGAGCAGTATCACCGGTGCCACAGCAGGCATAAGTGCGAACAAGGCGAACCAAAGCCTCAGCTAAGGGGGGTGCAGAGCCCGCCACAACAACGAAACCACTAGTCACTAGGGCCGGGGGGCGGGGGCAGGGGTGTGGCAGGACTTCATCATCGAAGATCTTTTGGCAAGCGTACTTGCTTCAACAGACTATCTTGGCCTCCGTAAACCAAGCTTGCACTTTCAAAGGCTTGGCATTCTGCGACTCGGAGGGTACCCAGCAGAGTGCCAGAGCAGCACTGCCGACGGAGCTGTGGCACGAAACAGGATTAGGGCTCGGGAGTTGCGATTTAGGGTTTTGTGGCAGGCAGGGATGCAAACATGGCTAGGGGTGTGGATGCGCGGCTTAGAGCTCAAGGGTGAACTTACTCGCCTTTGCTGTGCTCTGTTTAGGGGTTCGGGGATCAGGGTTCAAGATTTTCACGGGTGCAAGCGGGGTTTCGACTGCACTGCTGTGTCCATGTAGGTAAACATGGCCAGCCCTTATATCAGAAGCAGAAACAGTCCCGGCGGATCCCAAAATCTGTCATACCGAGAGGTAGAGAGAGAGAGAGAGAGAGAGAGAGTCTCGCTGCAGCTGGTAAGCCCCTCGCATGGGATTGCTCAGGACCTTCGCGAGGCTATGTGGCACGTAGCACCCAAAGATATGCCTCTTGGCTGTGGCTGGGAGAGAACCCAGAGCTTCAGAAGTCTGGGGTCCTTAGTGCATGAAAGGCGAGGCGTATCTCAAGGAACGTAGGGTTCTTGCACGCTCCAAGTAGCTTCAAGCAGTTGACTGGGGGGTTGAGCGGAAATTTCCGCCTCCAAACATTGCAGCGTGCTGCTTGACTTCCTCGGTTCTCTCGTTACAGGACGTCGTGTCAGGTTCCTGGCTGTCATGTCTTCCGTTTGGCTGCTTGAGAACAGGGGTTTCCGACAGTTAACACATTTAACTTTTGGGGATTGGAACAACTCACTGCTGGGCAGTCGGACGGGCCATGACATAGAGATTAATTTGTGTCCCCGTGGCGTATGTCTTGACTCATATAGTGCTGAAAGACGAAGTCGTAGGCTCTAACTCTATCTATCGCTAAAGTTAGCTTACTGTTTAAATATATGAATATGTAGTAGTTCGTGATGGTTTTATTCACATTTCTTCATGTGTTATTGCACAGGTTATATGTAATTCACATACATAAAGACGTCATACATATGTGCATGTATGTACGTATATATGTAGATTTATACCTATGTGTTGTATATATACATACGTATATATACATGTACATATATACGTATTTGCCTATTTGGTATACTGTTCAAGGATAGAGTTCAGCTGATTCAGAAAGCTCTCAGCCCTCTCCCTAAACCCTAAACCCTAACCCGTAGACTCTGAGCCTGGAAGGGTGAGCGCCTTGGCCATCGACACATGGACGGTCTATGATGGCGTCGACCTTCCACCCTGGGACCAAAGCCCGACCTTGGCTAAAAGATTCGTCTTGCCGCAGGTATCTTTGCAGATTCAGAAAGGCCTCAGGGTTTGATAGCGTCATAATTACAGTTTCGGGTAGTGTAGAAGTTCAGGATTTTTGGTATGGATCGAGGAACTGCCGCTTGGATCGCTCGATTTACGTGCTTGCATCAATTAAGGTGTGGTTGGTTATATGGTGGGTTCTTGGACTTTGACCAACATACGGAATAATTTAGCAGCGTAGACCCCGCCCGGCACAAAAGAAGCCAGCAATCCAAGTCCGAGGTATTAAAGCTCCGAAGACCAACCCATGAGTCTAAACTGCGCACGCCGTGGCAGGAGACCGAATAGCACCTCAGAACATGCACGGCACTGTGGGGGGGGGGGGGGGGGACGGTTTGTGGAGGCGGAAGCACGAGTCGCACCCAAGACATTCACGGGATTCACGGGACTGTGGCGGAACGCGGGGCACTATGGCACTATGGTGGGAGCACGTTTGCCAAGTGTGGAAACTTAGAACGGAGAGATTTCGAGACCATGCAAGCAGCTCCAGTGAGGCCGGACTCCAGCCACTCAGATCGGCCCTGACCACCATTACAAGAAACACTTCAGAAAATCAATGCCCAAAGCAGTCAAAAAACATTTCTGATAGCGAAAAAGGTAAGAGAATCGTTCAAAGCAAAAGGATCGCCAACACATCGTTTCAAACATGCTGAAAAGCATAAGCTCAGAAAACCACTACAGACTTGTATAGAAACCAGCTTAGAGTGGTTTCAATGTAGAAGGTAGGAATCGTAGAACATGAGGAAGCATTGGAAAGTAAGACAGGAGAACCCGTGAACAAAATCCAATGATTTCTAACACATACAAGAAGAACCCAGACAGTCTCCAAAGCATTCCAAACAAGCAGAACATCCCTAGCAACATAGACGCAGGCTGTGTTGCCCTCCCGGCCCATCAGGCTTTCGGTGAGAATTCTCGGATGTGGCAGACGCTAAGTGCAGCGAGCCAGGGAGTGAAGCACCCCGGAAATCTTTCGAATTGTCTTGAATGCTTCTGAATACTTCGAAAAACGTGGAAATAGATTCCGAACCGCTCAAGAGGCCTACATATCCTTGGCCAAGGTCTTTGTGATTTCAGCAGGAGCGAAACAAGAGCCGCAACGATCCAATATATTCTTTGTTTCACTGTTCCGCTCTTTTGCCCCAAGATACCTAGAAGTTATAGCTATGTAATCATCTGCTGATACATCATCGAGGACCGAATCGAGCACCCAGCCTTGTTCAGTTGCACTCGCTGCTCTCTTGCCGCTCTTGTGCCCAAGACAGTCGGTTGCAACACCCTGTGGAGGCGTAGTTGTTCAGTTTAGAGGTGACGCCACTTTAAACCCTAAGAGTCCTCATCTGGCTACGAACGCCCTCTTTAAACCCACCCACCTACACTCCCATAGCCTTGCAAAACTTAGGTCGCTTGGCGCAACACCCTTGAAAGCCAGGGTTTCTTGGAGGGCCCCTGCGTAGAGTTCAGGGTGTAGGGCGATGCGAGAGCACACGTCCTGATGGAAAAAAGGACGAGGGCGCCCCGAAGCACTCTAACCTCCTAGCCAGAAAGATCTCTAGCAAGGGACCCTGATGGATATCGGGAATTTCTCCATGTTCCAGCCATGTCCTTACTATGGCCACAGGAGGCCTGGCTAAGTTGCTGGAGCGGCAAGCGCCCTTTTGCTCGTGCAGCAGTTCCCGGGTGTTAGTTGCAAGAGGTGAGGGCTCAGTGTCGATACGCTGGAGATGAATCTCACGCACACGCACAATCTTTTAGCATATATGCGTGTGTGTCGTGTAGAGCATGTACATAGTAATCGACGCGTACACACGCCTGCCTGCCTGCCTACCTACCTACCTACCTACCTACCTACCTACTTACCTACCTACCTATGCCTGCCTGCCTGCCGTCTGGCAACCCACATGCATGCATACATACATGCACACACACGTGCCCATATACATATACAGACATGTATATACATTGATACATGTAGATAGACATATAGATATATACATATATAGAGAAAGCGTCGGTATCGATATATGTATATATATATATACTATTTATATACGTGGTACCCCCACCATGAACTACCGACCCTCGTTTTGTATCGTAAATGCCATGTCAAGCCAGCTTTTCCGGAAGGTCCGGATTCTGTATCTCTCAAAGACTACCAAGAGCAAACCTACATTTCAATAGAGCGTGCTAGACAACTCGTTCAGTTTTGACGTCAACACGTGCCCCATGGCAACACTGCGCTCTTCCAATCAAAAAACTTGTTTCTCTAGGGGAATCAAACAAAAATCAATACAATCTTCTAGGAAACTATACGGCTAAACTCTCAAAAGATTGGTTTTTTTGGTATACCCTGAGAAAACAAGCAAACTTTTCCCTAGTAAAAAGATGGTTTTGGACGGGAAAACCAACTATTGCTTAGAGAATACAATACAAAAACAAACACAACATTTTTTGGGAAACTATACGGCCAAGGTCCAAAAAAGATTTGGTATTTCTGCCAACAACTTGTTTTTCCTATGAGCAAGTTTGTTTTTCACATCAAGACCAAACTTGTCCTCGGGAAAAGTTGGTGTTGCTGCCCGAAACCATTGTTTGCTAAGGGAAAGTTGGTTTTCGACACCAAAACCATTTTTTCCAATGCAGAAGTCCAAAACCAGTGTTATCCTAGGGAAAAACACAAAAACAACATCTTGTTGGACTTTGGCCATCGAAGAAAGCAAAATAAGCAATCGGCTCTAAGACTTTAAGGAAGAAGAACATAGTTTGCAGTGAAGAAGACAGAAGAATATCTCTCTATCTATATATATACATATATATATATATGTATATATAAGTGTGTATGTTCGTGAACTTGCACTAGGCGAAACTCTGCAAGAAGCAACTGGCTAGACCGAGCAGAACAGTTCGAATATTCACATATATATATATATACACATATGCATACGCACAATTATAGTACATACTTGTATTAAATCATGCATTGTACACAAACCAATAGCACATGATTCGCAATACACCGTACAGTTTAAGATTGTACCTACTGCATTGGCCATAGACATAACACAGAACACATAACACGTACATAACGATCATTATGTAACAAAACAACATGCACTTTTTCACATCGACACATACCTGAACATGAACATATATGTATAAGCGGAACCATATACATATAGATATGCATTTACGTACATGTATATGTATATATACATATACATTAATCTATGCCCATACCCAGGTTGATAGCTAACGCGGACATAGGCACGTACATACACTGTATACAAAGACGGACACATGCTTAAACATGTGCGGACGCATGCATGGTTGCTCGCTTGCCTGATTGCATGCGTGCACGCTTGCACGCTTGCTTGCATGCTTGTATGTATGTATGAACGATTGATGGAATGATGGAATGCATGATATCAAGCCTGGAGGTGTCCCGAGGAACCTCCTCGGCCTCCTCCTGGCCACAGTGGCCCTTACAGCCCAGGAGGTCGGAGAGGCCATCAGATTCATTAGATTGGGAGGTTCCGGGCAGAGGGTTTTAGCTTCTAATGGTTCGAGATTTCAAACTTCATCCGCAGTTTGAAGTATTCGTATTCGCCAGATTTGAGAAGTTGGACATTTGAGTTCATGTCTCCACCTCTCGCAGCACTCCGACAGGAGAACTTGTACTGCAAGTGCACCTGGATAGACAATTGGTGGTTCCACCTGGTCGAGGCGAACATGTCCACGCAAGGGGTTGCGTTTGGAATGAGGGTTTGTGGTGGTGTGGGTGTAAGGTAGAATGTGGCGTAGGCAAGCGATGCTGGAAAACATGAGGTGCGTTTCTCGACATTTCGCAGTTTTTTCCCAATGATTGGCTTGATAATTCCTTGCCAGGCCTGCATGCTGCCCGATGAATAAAGTTAGCATGTCGAGCCGTGTATCAAGCGGACAGCATTCGTTGTTGTTTTCGGTTTCGTCGCTCAATCGACAGTTGCAGTGCTTCGGGCTTTGATGATTGTCGGTTTCATTGTGTTTCAGAGAAAGCTCTTGAACAGTTTTTGGAACCCCATCCCCATAACGTGCTTGTATGGAGCAGCTTCGGAAGTAGGACAGCCGCGGGAAGTAGGACAGCCGCGTTAGTGGTCGCATTGCAGCCGAAGCGCGGCGCAGGACTTGCCACGCATTCTCGGATCTCCAAAAGATGGGGACGTGATGTTTGTCCGCGATGCGGCAGGCGGAATGGCGAAACGATTTTGTTGGATATCGTAGCAGTGGCTTGAACACCTGCATGTTGCCATACACTGCCATACACGTATGAGGGTACAATCCGGGATGAGCTGGTTTTGAGGACCTTTGCAAGCGTGGCATTCATTGGATCATCTCTACAGCCCGAACTGCAGCCCTCAGAAACCTGACCATGTCAAAGGGGCTAGTTGCCCAGCTCGGGCAAACGAGTGTAGGAACGACAAGCCCTACTCGTACGTTGCCCAAATCAGGGACGAAGTCTTAGAAACTGTCCGCCATTCTGCGCCTTGCTTCCTCCAAACCCTCATCTGGCAAGCACTCAGCCTCGAAGCCTTAGCTTGTCGGCCTCACATGTTGTCAAGATGCCCCTGCATAGCGCCCCGGCTGAAGTGAAGGTAATGCCAGCCGGAAGAGCTTGCCTTCCTGGCAGCTGCTGGAGAAGTTGGTTTTGAAAGAAAGGCGCGGAAACACAAATAGGGCTTTGCAGACTGTTTGAGTTTCGAAGCGAATCTTCCAGAGATTGGCCCTTCGTGCTGCCGCCTTTATTTTTCGGACCGCCTCTACCAATTAACCCTGTCAAGCAGCAGTGCCCCTTGTGTTTGGCATTCACAAGGATGCAGGCCGTGGCGGAGGCTTTTAGATTTTAGATCTTCTCTTGCAAGCACAGGCTGACACGTCATATTACAAGCATCAAAGTAACGAATCTTCTAATGTTTTGGAATGTTTTGGAATCCGAAATTCGACACGCCCCGAACCTCTTGCGACTCTTGCAAGGTCCTATATAGCGGAGCCCGCCTAAGCGAGTACTGTAGAGGACTCCCGCTCAGATGAAGACTTGGGCGGCTCTGTGCCTGCGACAATCTGCAGAGTCAAGCCCGCTGAGCAGACACAGCCTCCAGCAAGATAGTTGCATCCCTGTTGCGCAACCAGCCAAGGACCGCTAAAGCCTTATGAGAATCTTCCGGAAAACGCGAACACGTCAATAGAAACCGTCAATAAATCCCATGAAGCTTCAACTAATTAGCCAGGCTGTGTCAGCACGAATCGTCGCTGCTGGAATTGCTGTCAGGCCGTCACCGAGCATTTTCGTTTGCAGGTTCGTTTTCGGAGCTTCAGGAACCGTGTAAACTTCTCATGACAGTACCTGCAAGCCGATCAAGTTAAAGGTTACCTGAACTTACAACAAAGGTTTCTGGTCATGTGTTTGAGGATGCGCGAACAGTGGGTGTTGTTGTTCCGGCTTGTCCTCGCTGAGGCGATCTACCCTTCGAGCAGCAATCGACCTTCAGTCCCGATTGTATGTGTCCTTCTGAACCCCAAGTGCCGCCAGATCCTAGAATGGATCTGTTGCATCGGATGAGATCCATCTCTTACCCATACTAATACTAGACTTTTAGCTTTGTTAGCATAGTAGTACTATATGACTATATTATTACTATAGTTACCAGGGCAGTACCTATAATCTTAGATATAATTACCTATCTGGCCAGTCCAGAGCCTCTGCGTCCCCGGAGCGCTGGCCACGGACTTGTTGTGCACGCAGCCTGGCCATGGATTTCACAATGATAGGCATATGCGAGTGATAATTTGTTTTATTGTTCAGAGTACAGTAGTTCGCACATTAGAGAGAAGACGTATCATGACAGGAAGTCTGCTTGTAACAACAGTAGTAACAATGGCAGTGGCAGCAGCAGCAACATCGACACCGACCCGAGGCATAAGCAGTTCAGGCTCGGATATTCTAACCCTCCAGAGCTCTCGATGTCTGAGCCTCGACACTTGTCGACTTAGAGACCTTGTGACCCGGTCGTGAGTCTGGGGCTTTGCCGAGTGTCGGTGTCCACAACTATTGACACAAAATGGGCCGGTGCCCAGGCTGTACATACCCCAGCCTTTGCCGGCTGCTCGCCCCCCCAAGGGCCCGACCCCCAGGCTCTACTACAGCTTTGCCTTCCGCAGCACGGAGCAGCTCCTGCTCCTTGCTGGGCGGCGAGCGCGGCGCATGCGGCTGCTGTTCAACCAGGTGGGGAACTAAGCGTGACAGGACGGGAGGATTTCCGGATGCTGGAGTCAGGATGGGAGTGGTCGGGGAGTGCGGTAGGGGAAGTGTGTGTGGTGGGTTGTTTGCCCACCCAAGGCAGCTTTAGGCCTTGACGGACTTCATGTTTGTCATATCCCCGCATGATAGTTCTGCAGGCCAAGGCGTGTTTGGATGCCACTCCTTGGCCCTTCGACATCGAAGACCTCGAAGAGCCTTCCACGAATGGGGTTGCGAATTTGGGACCTCGGGATGTCGATGTGTAGGAGTGTGTGGGGCATCATCCTGGTTTGCACTCGCCTTGTCCATGACCCGGGGGGTCGTTACAGTCGCTTTCGCTGGATGTGTGCAGCTTTCCTACCCAGAGGAGTTTACCCGAAGCTGGTTGGAGTTCGAGGCGCCTGAGCTCAACAAAGTCCGGCCCAGCCCGACTAAGTCAGGGTTTCACAGGTTCCGAAATATGTTTGCTGGCGGTGCAGCTACCATTTCGCGCTGGGGCACAGTATGCAATCCACAGCTTGTCGGACACGCTTGGTGGTGCATGTATGCACAGTGCTTCCACCCATAGGCTCCTACACTCCCTTCCCTCCATCCCATAGAGAGATGGAGAGACATACGTGTATACATGTTTCACGTAAGTATATCTCTGTATATGTATATATCTCTGTATATGTATGCATGTACGTATGCATGTATGCATGCATGCATACACACCTATACACACACTGTTGTAAGCCCACCAGAGCTGAGAGCATGTCATACAAACATATCTTTCGAGGTAGATGTATGCGTGTACATGTGCATGTATGTATGTGTGTGTATATACATATATATATATGTATGTATGTATGTATGTATGTATGTATGTATGCATGTGGGCATGCATGTGTGATTCTGTACATGTAGGGGTGCATGCTTCCGTGTCTGCATCTATGCATGCATGTATGTGTGTGTATATATACCCACACAACACATATACACAGATGTGTGTGTATATATATATAAATTATTTACTTACTTATTTGTTGATTTATGTTGACAAGTACATACATAAGTATATACATATACACATATGTGTGTGTCTACTATGTATAGAGGTCTCGTACCTGCGAAGGCACTTGCGTACATACACGATATACATACCTTCATTTTGACAGGCAGTGTGCGAATTCTATCGGCAGGCGGAGGTTTGGCCGCCTCAGGGGACTCCCCGTGTGGTGGACGCCCCACCACCGCCACGCTGGACGGGGCGAAGCAAACCAAAGCCACGAAGCTCCCTGGCCCTTTCAAGCTTTAGGGCTTTAGAGATCGGAGTTAGGGATTCATGGTTTACAGGGTCTGGAAAATGTACCTGCGACTGGTCAGACTCAAGGTGCAACAGCCGGCTGTCGCTGGCAGATTTATCTAGATGTTCCCAGCTTGCTCGATCAATTCCATCCAGATGTTTTCCACAAGGCATGAGCAGATGCCACTCTCGATTTGTGGTATGCGTGTCATTTCGGTGAACTAGTGTCTTCTCTAGGCTCGCTGCCTGCAGACCTCCGTCGGTGCATCCCTCTGCAGCTCCTTGCCTGACAGCTTCATCTGGATGTGATGATGCACGAGCTGGTCAAGTTGGGCCTTGTCGGTTGCAGGCACTTTGAGGATAGCGCCTGCGTGGTGCCTGCCATGATGAAGGAAGGTTGCATGAGTAGCAAGTCATGACAATGACGAGCATCACTAGCAACAGCAATAGTGGAATTGTTTCCAGAGGCTCAATCACTTGACAATTTCGGATTCCGAGAGTCCTGCAGCGAGGCGCGGTTCTGCTGCCAGTCAGAGCTCGATGGCAGCACACTGCTACTTGCCTCTTTTACCCTTATGATTTAAAGGGTCAGGGGCTGATGTTTCTGACCAGGAGGTATTGAATGAAGCATTCTGCTGTTCAGCGTGCTTACAGTGATGACACTGGATGTTTTTAAAAATCGATTGGCATGACCGCTGTACAAGAGAGCAGTGACGAGGAAGGTGCCGGTTGAGTCAAAACTGGTCTTCGGTCTTCGTCCCAAGGAACTTGCGTGTGCTCGCAAGTGCAGGATGCGCTCCGGATGTCGTCTTTGTGTAATGTAGGAGCCTCATAAACTTTGTAAATAGTTAGGTTTGGCTTGTCCCTGCTCCCCCCTGTGCTTCCGTGACAAAATCATATTTGCAAATATACGCATGATTCCATGTAAAGTCACACACACATATATGTGTATATGCATATGTGTATACATATTATATATATATATATTGATATGTATATGTGTGTGTATCTATACAGATTTATAGATTTACAAACAAATCATCCAGAGTACGATGTTCCCGACTCCAGTTGTCCTCCATACGACTACGTGTACAGCATCACTCCTACACACTTCCGAAAACCACTGCATTTTACCAGCTCTTCAACATAATTTTGACACCCCTCCGCCAATAATCGTAGACTGCCCCTACACCCAATCCCTGAAGCCTGAACCTCAATCCTCCACCCTGAATGGTAGGTTCGTCTTACTGAGGAAGGCAAAGAAGCCTTAGACCTTGTAACCCTGAGCCCGAAACCCTACAAAAACCTCGCTTGTGGGCTTTGATCCTTAGCTATGCGAGTCGGAAAAAACCCTACAAAAAACTCGAAACCTTGAGCCCTGAAGCCCAAAACCCGAAACCCTACAAAACCTCGGAGGAGGTCTTTTTTTTGGTGCTTTTGGGAAGCCTGCGCACCCTCAAACTGCAGGTTGGGCGCGGCGAGCCACCTCAATGGATTCGAGCTGCAAGGTGCCTTATACGGGCACTTGGGGGATTCAGGGTTAATAGGGGTTTGGGTTTTTTTTTTGTGTGTGTGTGTGTGTGTATATGGGGCGGTGATTTTAGTTAGAGGTTTGACCTAAGTCGTAGCGTCTTGCGGAAGTGGCTGCGTGTGAGTGTGGACATGGGGGAACCGGTACTGTGGCCACTACGGCTACTACGAGGCGAGGGTTTAACTTGCATCAATCTTGTTGAGGAAATACTCATCTTTCTGTGGGGTTAAGCAAACCCGGGCCGGCCTGGCATACATCCCAACATCAACCGTTGCAGGGTCCTCGCACGGGCGTGTACATGGGGATACCGTGCAAACGCTCATAAGGCAATTCGCTAGAAGCCGTCTCAAACCGGTAAGCGCATGGGGATTCCGAAATAAGAGCCAGTTGTCTACTCTTCGTGCCACGTGCACATTGAACATGTCGGGATTTGCGAGCTAGGAGTTCCTGACCACTGCCTCGCGCGGACCTCGCGCAGAGCCAAGTCTAGACCCCTTATGAAACCCAGGTTTCGCCCTCCAGCTACCTGATGAAAAAGATAAACTTTTGTGTTTCCGTGCTCCTGCTTCTGAAGGGAGCGTGTCAATATTCCAATGTTCTCGCATGTTATGATCTACGAAAAGGTTGCAGTTTGCCAGCGCGTGGGCCTGATTTCTGTTGATTTGAGGCTTCGCCCGAAAAGGGAACAGGGTGACAGCAAACAACAAGAACGCCAGTCAGCGGCCCGCTTGGCGAAGACGCTGTGAACAACGAGTTGAAATGGCCACTCGCTTTATCATGTATGTGATGAGTTTTGAGCGACCACACGAGAGAAAGATGCACAAAGTCCCAATGTCCCCTAGCATCCTATCCCTATGTTTATATACCCTTCCGATGTTCTTCTGTACTCTGCTTCGGTTTGAGTCTCTGGCCTGATGACCTACTGGAGCATCCCGGTTCCACATTGGTTCGAAGCTAGGGAAACCCTGTGAGCAATCCTTGGAGAAGCTTACTCCCGAAGCGGCTCCTCGTCGGAGACTACTCTTGCTCTTTGAGGTTTGGGATCTGCAGTAGCCCTACCGAGCCAATGTGGCAAAACGCTTAAAACCGTGGAAGAACCAATACATCCATCCTCGCAGCACGCACAGGATTGTTGCGATCCACGCCCTTTGGCTGCGATTGAGCTTTGGGACTGAGGGTGCGTAGATCTTGAACGGTCGGGACTGTGGAACATGCGGCAGCAGTTTTATCATTTGGTGAAGGTTCTGGTGTCCTTGGGGTTGCGGTGCAAAGCAGCTTTCAGTTGACTGGTTCGGATCTAGGAGGTGCCAAGTCATGCACCGGCTTGGGGCCGGGATAGGAGATTCTCTTTTTCGCTCCAAGTAGTAATGATGGCGACGAGCAAAGGGGGCAGTTCGCCAAAAATATGCACATCCCACGCAGCCCCAGACCGCTGAGCTTGATCCTTTGAAGTGTATTTTGAAGATTGACTGTGCTCACGTCCTACAATGTTCTGGGCGCAGCCGGATGTTTTCGAGCCCTTGTGACCCTGTAACTTCAAGTCTTTACAGCTAGGGTTGCCGCAGTCTGGGTCAGGCGGGGATCAGGTATCAAGAAATTAAGCAGGGCACTGACCCTCCCATGGCGTCAGAGGCTTCCCGCGTGGGCGGACAGAATGTTTCGGCGGAGTATGGACGTTTGAGGCTTCGAATGAGGGACGGTTACGATGTGTGCTTCATGTGACGTCCATTTTCCACGACTTTCCGAAGCCTGCAGAGCCTATCTGATAACCAAAGGGGCCTGCAACACGGGCCTCCTGACAGAAAGGCATCAGTCGAGACGATGCGAAGCCGTACATGAAAGGAAGTGTACTTTTAAAGTTCTTGTGGCGAAGAAGCACGAAGCAAAACCCAAAATGGCTCCCATGGCAGCATGATTGAAAAGGTGCGCCTTGAGGCTTTGAACTGTTACTTTTTTGCCATGGCTCTGAAGCCCAAAGTTGGAGCTTGGCCGCCAGGCCTGCTGCGCACCGGACGATCTGACGGCTGGGTGGGGGCCACCGCCAAAGGCCGACTCGCCGAAGCTTCATGGGTAGTTCTCTAAACTAGGATCCCTTTATGTTGGACTCGGAAGCTGCTTACATGTAGAGGGTCTGGCAGCTGCCTTGTACATCGACAAGCGGATTAGACAACCCCGGCTACCCGGCCCTTGAAGCTACGACTTGAGTTGCGCTTATACCTACAACAATCGAAGTCTTGTTGGACCGGAGAGCACAGGGAACTGCGGGAGGAGAGGGAAAGGGACGGCGACGGTATTTGAGCAAGAAAGCAGCAGCAATCAGTTCATGGTTATGTGGATTGTTGATGAATGCTCGCGGGGGCATGATCTACACTTGCAAGAGCCGAAGTAGGCAGTCTTCGTTGGTCCCCCTCTCGACAGGCCGTGGAGACACTGACGAGTCCCGAGAGCCATTCGGGACCGCGGTGGCCCCTGAGACCCAAATCTCATAAGAATTGAAAAGTAACCGGACTTCCTCCATGGTCCATTGCTCCTTCGCTTGTGATTGAGACGAACCCTGTATGTCCTGGCTCGTTGCGACAAGTTTTGGGAACCCCAGAGCTTGCAGCTCTGGCACAAGACCTGCCCAAGGGTAAAGACAGCCCCGAAGCCCCAAGGGTGATTCGTGTCCCAGCAAACCACATGCAATTCCGATTCTTACTTGTGATCTTGGCCCGTCTGTCGCAACATCGGAGAAGATAAGAGGAAAAGTATCCATCCACAAGCCATAACTAGAAATCGGGGAATGCACATATAGAGTAGTGCGTCTATAAATCCACCCCCCCTGTGCCCGCCATTCCCAGCCAGTGTGCCCTTCTTTCACTCGGTCGTAGGAAGCCCTGATGGCCTTGAGCCCGAAATTCCGAGCCTCCCAGAAACGACAGAAACGGTGAGTGCTATACTACAAACCCTAGACCCTAAACCCCTAACTATGGGTCAGAGGGTTGAGTGGCAATATCACGCCGACCAGAACGTTTGAAACCTCGCGTGGCTTGTCCGAGTTGTGAGAGTGTAAACCCCTAATTTTGTGGGCTCGTCCTAGCTAGGTGGGAGGCAAAACAAAAAACCCTAAGCCCTAAAACCATAAACCCTGACTCTTTTTCGGTAGCTGGTTGTTGGGAAGCTCGAGGGGACGTGCAACAGTAAAATCTGTTGCTGACAGGCAGACCATCACGATACCGGGTGGTTCATGGTTCTTAGATGGGGTTCTGGGCTTGCTTTCTGCCTATGGTCTGTCTTTCCTGTATCACGCCGACCTCGCACCATGAACCTCGCCTGGCTTGTCCGAGTTGTGAGAGCGTAAAACCATAAACCCCAAAAGCCCTAAAGCCCAAAACCCTAAAACCCTAAAACCCTAAAGCCCTAAAGCCCTAAAGCCCGAAAGCCCCAAACCCTATAGAGGCCCCTGGCCAGGACCCTTCCGGCAGCTCTGGGAGCTCCGCGGGGAGCTCCGAAAGGCCCGGCTTTCGGGGCCCAGAACTCCTGGCCGCAGGGCGGAAGACCAGGGCCGCTCGAAGGGAAAACCGGGGTTTAGGAAAAAGGGTTTGAGGGTTTGAGTCGCTGGAAACCATATGCAACAAGAGGGTAGTTATTCGGGGTTTGGGAAGAGGCAGGAATTTTTAAAGTAGCGTCGCCGGACATCGAGTAACGACACCTTAGTTGCCCAAACTGGAGCTAAGGCACAGCAAACTGGGATCAGCTTCGGCAGTGGGTCGAGGCGCAGCTGGCCCTACCAGCCAGTGAAGGAGGTGCAGCGTCTCAAAACTCGGGGAAGCAGTTCAGCCTCGACTTTTGAACTCTTCCGTAGGGTTCTAGCGGCTAGCGAAGAGTGAAGTTGTAGCATAGCATATCATTATAGAGGCTTAAGATGCAAAAGGGCCACCCTTAACCCCAAACTTAGTCCGAGGTCGTCAGAAGCTCTTTCCCGAGCTCGACCTCCTCGTGTCCACGCGCGCTTGCGTGCCTTGGCTTCGGAGCTTCGCTGGTAGCGGTAGCCCCGCCGCCCAGCTTCGTTCAGTCCATGGCCCACGGCCACAAGACCAGGCGTTCATGACATGTCCGTGCTGGTCTAGATGATTCGCGGAAGTTGGCAAACCATGCGCTAAACCAAAGAACCTCGAGGCATACAATAAATAAGCTTGTTTCAGCGAAGGTGGGCCCGCAAATGGAGTTGCCATGGTTCCTTCTCGGCGGACGTGCAGAAGATGCTGGTGTTGAGCTGGCGTCACGGCTCCCCGGCAGGGTTGCAGAACCGGAAATCCAGAAGCCCTGCAGCGCCTGCGCACCCTCCAGTGCAGATTGAGAGGCGGTTCTAAGCGCAGGTTTCCTTTGAAATGCAGACAAGGAGTCTACACAGAGAGTGTCAAGATGGCCCTCAACCCCAAACTAGACCCGTTCCTTTCTAGAGCCTCTTCGACGTGCCCTGAATCAAGTGGGGGACTGAAGACTGGGTTTCAAGGGCTCGGTGCTGAGGCGTCATGAGGAACCTCTCCCTTTCGGTGCAGGCTGTTTTTCTGTGTTCTGCATTTTCCACAACCGGATTTTGAACTTCTAAGCAACCCGTTGCATATAGTATGCTCGAAACTACATGCGGCTCCGTGTCGGCAGGCCCCAAGGATTGGCGCATGTACATAGCTGAGCAAGCTCAGCTTGTATTGGGTGATCGCCGGAAAAGTTCGCTGACTTTAGTTTCGGCCAGTCACGTGGCAAGAACGCCCGAACGGAACCTGTCCATATAGTTATGCCACACACTCGCACGCTCCCTCTCTGTCTCTGTGTGTATGTATATTAATCTACCATATACGTACGTAATATACATGATTTATATGATATGTATAGATACATGTGCAGTTATATAAACCTACACATACATACACATACGCACGCAGGCGTGCGCCTATATCCTTTGCCAGAATGAGGAGTGGAGCCTTGTGTGGGCCCGGCCTGCCGGTGGCCGGTGAGCTGGTGGGGGGCCGAATTGGTTTGTTCAGATTCTCCTTACTGTAAGGAACCTGATGCAGAAACCCCGGCTCCTTTTTCTGGTGGTTCTTAATATGAGCCTTAATATCTTGGCTTATAGGGCCAGGGTTTTTACTCAGGTTCCCACATTACCCTTGTCACGATCTTGGTGCTCTTTTGCTTTTGAGAGTTGGGGTGGGTACACATTGCAACTAAGTTCATGCTTGCTGAACTCTCGCTGCAGTCCATCCCGCACTTTTGGTTGGCATATGCACCATCATCTACCGCAGACGTGACGGCTCCAATGATAGTTAAGCTTCACGGAAGCAAGGAGCCTAGTCCAGTATTAGGTAACACATGCTCCAATGGTATATTCTGATGACTTAGTTCTTTGGCTTAGTCATTGGACGAAAAACCAACTCTTGTGGACGACCATGTTGAAGTCTTGTGAAGCTAATTATTGCTCATTGCTTGCACTCAGCAAGTGTATGGTTGAAGGAGGCACGTATCAGCGGACTCCTGGTCAGTCCAAGGGGATCTCCCACAGAACTCGAAAGGCAGAGCCAGAAAGACTGCGTGCGGAGTTTGCCAGGAGCCCGCATGTATCGCCAGTTGTGGGAACTCAAGCCCAGAACCCCAAGAGATAGCCTTGAAGCTATATAAACGAACATCTCGAACAGGTACAGACCAGCAGTTTCCATCCCACGCAACAGTCCATTCCGAACCCAAAGCCCCAAACCAACAACTCAGACCCGAGATGATCTTAATCTCAGAACCCGAAACCCGGAACCGCCGAACCCGCCGAACGCCAGACATCGGAAGTGGCCAGGTCTCTCTTCCCGGGCGCCGAGCTACGGTGCCCAGCGCTGGCATCGAGGAGACTCCGGGCCTGGGTACTCAGAGGTTCTTTAGGAAATCCTAACCTCGAAACTTTGGGGTTTCTGGGTTTTGGAGGGCTTATAGAGGTTAAAGATCTGAGGATCTGAGGATTGAGGTGAAGCAGAGAGAACAGAAGCTTCTGAGGGTTTCAGGATTTGAAGTTGGAGGGTTGCGATTAGGTTCAGTCAGTACGAAAATTTGCGAATTCGTCATGTATATATATATATGTATGTATGTATGTATGTATGTATGTATGTATACAGATATACAAAATACATAGATATATAAATATAAACAAATAGATAAATAAATAAATCAATAAAACATATATACATACATACATACATACATACATACATACATACATACATATATATATATATACACATACACATACATGTACTACGTGCTTGTGTTGCCCGACGAACCCTTCTGTCTGAGACTTCTAGGCCAGAAGCAGCCTCCCAGAGTTGGAAGGCAAAGGCAAAAGCAGAGTGTGCCTTCAGCGTCCAAACCCACAGCCTGGGCTTTGGGGCTTCGGGGTTCCCCACCCCAGAAGCCCCCGTCACGAAACCCTAAGCCCAAGCCTTAGACACCTCAAAGCCCATCCGAGAGCCCTGACAGAAACTCAGAAGTGCCCCGTGGAACCCTAGAGGCCCTAGTACTGACTCCGCCAAGGGCTCCATCGGTTGGAGGCGTACGGCCTCGAGCTCATGGCCCCGTGCCTGATTCATTCATTAAACGACTAGCGACGGATATGGAGGTTTATCTTATTCTCGCATCATGATTCGGGAATGAAGAAGCAATATACGAGTGCATACACATACACATACGGGGATTTTAAATACAAATATACACACATACACATACACATACACATACACATACACATACACATACACATACACATACATATACATATACATATACATATACATACTTATACATATACATATACATATACATATACATACATATGTATATATACACACACATATCTCTGTTTGTGTGTGTGTGTGTCGGTGTAGATGCATACAGACCGATAGCGCACGCAAGAAGGAGGGAGAGCGACAGAGAGAGAGCGCCTGGACGTTGCAAGAGCGCGTTCGCGTGCGGGGTTCGGGGGGACTGCCCCCGTTCGACATGCCCGTTAGCGAGAGAGGGAGGGAGAGAGAAAGAGTGAGAGAGAGAGAGAGAGAGAGAGAGAGCTCTCAAGCAAGCAAGCAAGAGAGCGAGAGCGAGCGAGCGGGGAAGTCATAGTTGTGTGATCCTGACCTTGCCGTATCCGTGGAGTCTGTAGAGCTGCTGAAAGTATTTCAAAAATCGATCTGTGAAAGGTAGTGTAGGATTCGGGTGAGCGCAGTGTGTTTCAGCATTGAAGCACAACTTCAAGTAACGGGTCCTGATGCTCTCTCAGGGAAGGTATCCGCAAACTGACGATCTCTTGACCCCGTGGTCACTGATGCGGCATCGGCTTGTGACACTAGTCGTTTCATCCTTCGATATGTCCCGGCCTGTCCGCCAGCCAAGGCACCTTGCCGAGTGCAAAACACATCTGCCGATGGCAGTCGGAGGCTCAGATCAGATTCGAGATTTCGGGCCGTGAGTGTTTGTACAGGTCTTTGAAGGCTTGTTGGGCCTGTATTTGCGTTGCAGGACCTCCCGGTGTCGATCTTTAGGCCCGGCGAATCGACTTCCGGCACCTTTGTACTGTATCACCTGCCTACAGTACTTGCTTTCGACGACTATGACGCATGCGCAGGCCCAACACCTGCTATCAGATCCCTCCAAAGCCCCGGGTTGCCAAAGCAGTCCTAGGATGCTTCTGCGGAGCGGAGCCGTGCACCACGTGGACAGAGTTTGGGCGGCAGTGCTGCCGCGAAGATGACGGCATCGTGCAGCAGCCCCGGGGTGCCCTTGGTGCTCCAATTCTGAATTTGGGATTCCACTACTAACAGTCACTAGCACTAGGACCAGCACCACAACGGCAACAACATGGTGTGGCAGTTTAGTGCAGCAGCAACTAGGCCTAGGCTTTAGCAACAGCAGCAGGAGCAACAACGGAGCCGCAAACTAAGAGCATCAACCTCAGCAAAGCTGATGGCAGCAACACCTAAGGGCTAAGGCACCATCATCATCATCATCACTATCATCGTCACCGTCGTCATCATGAGCACCAGCATCACCATCGTTGTTTATCATCCTTATCATCACCCGAACTAGAACGACAGCGAGGTGGCTCCACTGATAATGTCAGGAGTCGCTGCGTCGTAGCAGCTGCTTAGGCATGCTTGGGCCTTCTGGAAGCGGGGTCTTAGCGAAGGTTTTGGGTGATGTCTGCTGACAGCTGCTACCAGCTAGGACATTCTAGGCATTTCTATCCCCAACTTACCAAGTCGTAACCCAGAGCCCTGTTCTAGAGTCTGCAGGCACTGGCTTCTTCTTGACGTCGTACTGTAGCTCAATGTGCTGTACATGTCTTTGAGAGTTCACTACTTGGCGCCCGTTGTACGACAACCGACCATAGCTGCGGCATGAGCTTGGGACGTAAGAACTGCGGGCTGGGTGCTTCTTGAAGTTCGGCACCACATGGACGACGTCGGACAGTTTCTGGTGTCAGTCTGAACATGTGGTTCTATTACATGTTCCTGGTTTTGCCGGCTGCAGCAGACGCACTCATAGATTTGAACAGCCCCGCTGCCCAGACTTGAAGCATGTTGGCAGCTCCCCAAGCCCCAAGCCCAGGCCGAAGGGATCTTCTCATGCCCGAAGTACTACCGAAGTACCTATCTTCCACCACACACTCCCTCCAATGCCCATTAGCCCTGGCCATGCCCCACTCCGACTCGGAGGCCTGGCCTTTTTGGTGTTTTCTGGGCTTCCCGGGTCCGGAGAGTCTCCCTCAGCCCTTAAGTAAGAGCTCTTGTTGAGAGCTTGGCTCAGCAGGGGTTATAGTGCTTGCTATCCCCGTGCCGGCTGCGTACCAAGAGACCTTGTTTGGCAGGTCCGAGTTGTGAGAGCGCAAGCATATGGGAGGAAAAGAAAGACTTCCAATGATTGAAGTGCGTCTGGGCCCACTTGCGAACAGAGCGGCGATGAGGTGATGGCGTAGATGAACTGACACAGGCGAGCCGCCAGATTGAACAAGACAGTCTGGTCTGAAACATTATCCCACATGTCGTCACCCTGTCTACCCGGCTTTTGCTTCGGGTGGGCATAATCGCTTGGATGGGCTGTCACTGACGGACACGGAAGCCCACGTTACAGTGTAATTGCAAGTTTTACAATGGCTTGGGCAGGTCGTGAATGCATGGCGGGAGCGAGACGAGGCTGGGCAGTTTGATTGTGGGGATCTTCGGAGACTGATCGGCAGTACCTTGCAGAAGCAGAGCATCAAGTGACACGGGCTTGACTGTACACTGAATGCTGCAAAGCCTTGACAAGCGACGATCAATCCGGAGGCGTTGCAACTTGCAACTCTTCAGGGAATCAAATGCCTTCAGGACAGCCCTGAGGGCCTTACGGGGCAACGACTTAAGCGCGTAGCTACGGAACCCGCAAAAAAGACAGGCTTTGGACACTTTTCCTTCCCCGACTTCCGATCACAGGCCGTCCTACTCCCATCATTAAAGGCTTCTCGCTTGTACTAGGCTGTAGTCGAGAATACATGCTATTTTGTTGCTACGTTCTACTCCTTGCAGGCCCAGCAGCTCCGGCGCTCGTCCTCTGCCCCTGGCGGCTCGCTACCTGCAATGGACCTCGACGCGATGACGCAGGAGGCGCATCCGCAGTAAGGGCTTTACACTTTGATATCATACCATGCATATATGTATATATATATATAATGTATATATATATATATGTATATATATATGTATATATATATATATGTATATATATGTAGATGAATATGTGTGTACATACATGTGTTGTTTTCATGTATGTATGTATGTATGTATGTATGTATGTATGTATGTATGTATGTATGTGTGTGTGTGTATGTATGTATATTCGCACGTATGTGCCACATATGTAGGTAACCGTCTTTGAGTCCACGATCTCTTCCAGGCACCCTCTGAGTCATTCGGACTTTGGACGCCTGCACGCCGAGGGCAGCTTTGTCTAGGGTTTGGGAAAAAAGGGGTTTAGGGTTTGTTCTCCTTTGCGCCCGGATTGCTTGTATGTAGCATGTACCAACGACAGGCTGTGGCGCTATTCCAAGCTGGCGATGCTCAGGCCACGGGCTGATTTAGGTGCAGGCAGAACTGACATGATCTCTCAACCTCGAGATCGTGCTCCCCTTCATTGCCTTATCTTTATCATGAGCATACCGGGTCGTCCTGACTTTCTGGAGTTTCAGAGGTTACGGAGAAGCAGCTCTTTTCGACCAAACTTGAACTCAAGCTGAAGCCGCTAGACCCGCCAGACCCCGTACTGCCTACTTTTCAAACTGCTGTGCCAGGCAGCCTTGGACCTGGCTGTAGCCTTCGCGAACGACGCAGAGCAGTTGCTAGGGCGGGAGTCAGGGTTCAGGGTGGAGCGGAGACGCCTCGTCGAAAGGATGGGTCTAATTTAAGTCGAGGCTTTGTTGCAAGGCTCCTGTCCCGTAAATAACGGTTGGCAGGCGCGCAATGGTTTCAGTCGACAGAGACGCGATTGATCGTACCGAACGCTTGGCAACAAGCAGGACCTGTTGGCTTGGAGAAAGCTTGCATAAATCCACGCCAGCGCCAGGCGAACGCATCCAGTGCATGTGAATGCATTAGCCGCTTAGCTGCGATGAGTCTCAGTGCTCACATCTATGTCTTCCGACGAACTGAGAGCTGGGTTCCTCATATAGATCCTCGCAGAGAACCACAGACCGATTCCGGATACTCGCTCCACCTGTGCCAAGAAGCGACGACAGTCCGCATGTAGCGTGATGAACGAAAGCTGACAGAAGATGCTCATATGCCGAAATCCTCGCCAAAGATCCATGGCTTCCAAGAGATGCGGGCTTTTGTTCAGTGCGTCGGGCTTGTGCAACAGCGTAGCCTTTTACAGTACATTCTTGATACACCTTGGGTTTCTTCGGTGTATTTCTGCGGAAGATGAGGCCCTGCGACTGAGTGCCCCCCTTGGGATGATCGCAGTCTTTTGCTGGTCTTTGCCGAGGCCACCGTGGCTGCGCTCGCCGAACAGATGGGTTGCAGCCAGGAGGCGGGATCGGGGGGTTTTTAGGGAAGATGCTTCAAGCCGGGATCTTGGCAATAACAAGGTACGATCCCTACACCCCAAAGCTTGAAATCCCAAGCGAAATGTAGGTAAGGGTCTGCTGCTCGTCGCAGCGTTTCCGTGGATGGAGCTCCGCAGCATTCCCTGCACGCGAGGCCCAAGACCTCCTCGAGGAGGCCGAGGCCTTGCACGAGGCCCGGGAGGGAAGAAGATTAGGGCTGGGGGGGGGGTTCTTAAGTGAAGGGTTTTTGGAACCAGGCCTTGGGTTTCAGGGTTTGGGGTCAAGGGCTACATGTCCCGAGTTGGCGGAAAGCCCTGGTTTCGTTGCACCAGCTTTTTGGCAGAGCCCGTCCGGCCCCATCGATTTCTTGAAGCATGTCTCCCGTAGAAAAAAGAGCAGAAAGTTTTGAATCCCTGTCCTTTGGCTATGAAGCTGCACGGCTATGTCGGATTACTGGTGTAGGGGGCTTTACGACTTTCGATCGTCTTGGGTTTGAGCTCAGGACTGTTTAGGAATTGGGGCTTGCGGCTTGGGGTTCAAAGCTGCCCGATGCAGGAGCATGAGATGGAGCAGGAGTATTTCGAGCTGGAGGTCTCGGGTTGTTATTGTTAAGGCTTCAGGCTTAGGCTAGGGGTTCGAGAACTGGGGGTTTTGCTTCTTTCCTTCCTTCCTAACTTGCTGCCTTCCTCCCTCGTGTGTGTGAGTGTAGAAATGCATAAGGGCTTAAAAATTTATGTGCGAAGATCATCAATTAAAAGAGTCTATGATGGTGGCAGCATGCATGCTGCAAGATGTCTGGGGCATCAGCATTCAAGAGCAAAACATGTTCAGGATATTCTTGCGAATGCAACAGCAAAACTACTGGTAGCACTGGAGGCAGGCACAGTGCTGCGGTGGTCTTGCGAAATGCCAGGCAGAGATGGAGTCGGGCACGAGCTCCGAGCCCGAGAAGCCCCTAGCCTCGGACTGTCGTAGAGGACGCGGGGTTTCGAGGCTTCGATTTTCGAAATGCTTGCTTTCTGGCTTGAAGCAGCCAGCTCAGAGCAAAATCCGATACTAGTCTGCGTTGCCTTGATCGGTGCAGACGTCGCAGGGACCCTTCTGGTCGAAGCTGGGTATGCAAACTTGTCCGAATTGTCCCTCGCTTGACCTCCGAATCTGCGATCGCCATCACTGCTGTAGCTTCTCCCTGTAAAGGTGGGAACCAGGTGTTCAGGATCCAGCAATCCCATCCTGGTATCGTACAGCCGCCATAGGTTCCTAGTCATGGGCGTGAGAACACCTCGCAGCAACGCCACCGCAACTCCAATCAGCACAAATTCTAGCAAACAACGCTGCCATTTGGCGCAACCAAGTGTGCATAGAAACCTGTAACATCCTGCAACACTAAACCTCTCAGTCAAGCCTGTCGTCGTTCTGTCTCGTGAGACCTCTGCTTGAATCCGTGCCCGCTTCGCGCGAGCGTGCTAGTCGAAACCTTACATACTACTAGTATCATATAGCTATAATATAGCCCTTTAGTGGAATAGAATAGAATACGATCATCGATCATATAGTATGTAGTGTAATTGAAGAGAGTCAGAATCTCTCCGCCTCAGGCCAGTCCGGGCTCCTTCGCCGGCGCTGAGCACCCACACTGGCAGCCGGGCCTCGGGTGACATCCCACAAGGCCCTTCTTCCGAACTCCCAAGAAACCTCATTGAGGGGGAAGCCAGAAAGCCACAAAGCTGGAGCAGCGTTCTCCTCATCTTAGAGCGCTGCAGAGTATGCACCGAGAATCCAAGAACTGACCATCAACGTCTTTGTTGAAGTTGTTTGCAGTTTCTTAGGGCCGCACAGAAGGGATCTTCTTATGCTCATGTTCATCCGGAAGGCCACTCCGACACCGAGGATGAGGAGGTGGGAAGAAGCAGCGAGATTGCGGGTTGCTCACGCATAGGGCCATTGAGGAGGTAATGAGTTGCCAGGGCTGCATGTTCTACAAAGAGCTTGCTTACGCAGCGGCAGCATAGAAGTGGCATCCAAGCAATTTCAACGTAGGTCCTCCGTATCTCGCTCGGGTTTAAAGAGTGGTTTCCTTTGCAGGGCCCTCCAAAGTTCCTCGCTCCAAAGCCTTATACAGTTGTACGCATCCGTCCGTTGCCTAATCTGTGCCCACAGACTTTTGCCAGCCGGCGGCAGTCGGTGTCGGTCCACATCAAAGCTAACACCGTACCTGCCAGCAGAAACTGGTGGCAACTGGTGTAAGACGAAAGTGCCGTCCGTTCCAGGAAAACTTCGGCAATGAGCCGTATGCTCGAATCCGAATCCTCAGACCCCGCGCGGTACACTTACAAGGCCTCCAAAACCGCATAGAATCCTCATAGTATCCCAGTATCCCTTGCAGAGCCCTTCAAGGAACCACATATCATAAATAAATAAATAAATAAGTATGTATGTATGTATGTATGTATGTGTGTATGTATGTATGTATGTATGTATGTATGTATGTATGTATGTATGTATGTGTATATATATATGCGTGTGTGTGTGTGGGTGTGTTTATGTATACATACACATAAAATCTGTATATACAAACTCTGAGCCCAACCCTCAACTCCCGGGTTTATCGGAGGCGGAAGCCGAGTCAATCCGCCGGCTGACCTGGGAGGTGAAGGAGTCTCTGAGCTGATGTTATGAGGTCAATTACAGGGTTTTATAGGGTCGGTTACAGGGTGGTTTGTTTTGCATACAGTCATACAGTGTCGTTTTCAGGCAATCTAACGATTTCAGACGGTTGACAAGGGCGTTTAGGGTCATTTCCAAGGGCAAGGACTTTACATTGCTTGACAGGGTCGCCATAGGGTTTGATAGGGGCTCTGTCAGGTAAAAAGGGTGTTTAGAAGAGGTTTCTGAACTGACCAGCTCAGGTTCCTCAAAGACGGACAGCCTGCCTCCTGACAGCAGCAAGTCCACAGGCTTCCGAAACCCATGGGCATCTCATGTCCGGATGCTGATAGTAAGGATCCTGGAATTTATGGTCGAAAGTGGTCCTTCAGAACACAGAAACTCTCGCATGTTCAGGGTTGAGGGCTGCCAGAAACTGGGGGCCCTTCATGGAAAAGCGGTGGAAGAAACAGCATTTCTCAGCATGACAAGGGCTAGAACTTGCACTTGGGAGTTCAGCTGCAGCGCTTCCGGCGATCCGAACTATCATCGCGACATTCCCTGATCAGAGAGATTCAAAAGACCCCTCCTAAACCACAATGAGGATCTCGCTGCACAGCTTCTGGCTGAAGCCGAAGCCGAGCTCGTCGCCGGAAGTGGTGGCGGAGCTCTGACATGCACTCATACAGTGCTTCATGGAATACTGGTTCAGTGTTCCTCCATCGTTCCTAACCATAACAGCCCAAACATGTATTCTATTCAGTGCGACCCCAAAATAAATTCTGTGGCCTGATCAGTTCAGGATTTTAAGGTTGCCAGGCTTGGGGGGTTAGGGTGCAGGGTGTTGTTGTTGGCGGTTCAGTGCGAGATCCGGCCTGGCGACGACAACCAGAGGCAAGGGGGAACGGGCACCTGTCGGATGCAGATGTTTGGTTATGAGTACTTCACATTGTGCTCAAGCTGGCCCTGGGCCAGACCACTTAAATGCACTAAGCTCAAGTCACCTGCCCGGAGCATTCCGGAGAGACTCAGGCCAAGGCGCCGGCGAACAGGGCAAAGCAGCCATGAAAGGACCGGCTCTCAAGAGATACTCGTTATATGCAGAGCTACTAAAGCAAATTATGCTTGCTAAGTTTAGGGAGTGTGATACAGGATTGAACATCTGTGTAGATCGTGCCCGGTAGGAGCAAAGACTGTGTCCATAAAGGGCTGTGTTATCCGAATCAGCTATGCGCCAGGACTGACAAGAGCTGCGCTCCACACGCTTTGGGCTGCTGCCACTTGGTTCAGCAAGGTCAGCGCAGAGCTTGGTCACGAAAGCTAGCTGTGTTTTGGCAAGCAGAAAAGCATGTCGTGAGTGGCAATCGCCAATGCTGAACCGTGCGCAGATAGTTTAACTGAAACACATCATCGCGAGGCGCTGTCCCAGGTCCTACAGGGCCCATGCACCCAAGCAGAAAGCCCTGCTCAAAATCCCTAGCCCAAACCATCTTCTGGACCTCTGGACCAGGTCTTGGAAGAAGTAGGCGAGAAGGACCCGCGACAATCGCATTGCATGATGAGGAATTGGAGGCTCAAGCTTTACCGGTTCCTGGCTTGATGTTTGAGGTTTGAAGCTCCTGTCTCCTCACGTGTTGCACTTGTGGCCGGGGGGTTCGGGGTTTAGGGTTTCATCCAGGCAGTTTGAGTGTCCTGCCGGGTTTTCGAGGACAAAGCAGCAGCTCTGTACGATGAGGCCTTGTTGTGCCTCAAGGAGGAGCCATGGTTTCTCCATATGGTTGCGTAGCCTGAAGTTTCGGAATCTTGGGCATTTGCACACGCAGAGCTTCTCCGAGCACACGTATAGTTGGCCTGTATGCAAAGATCAGCACGGCCCTGCATGCTCGAGCGCACGGTGTATGGCAGCATGTGTCGGCAAAAGTGTCAAGTTGTTACGTATCCAGAGTAACGACTTGTGTATAACACTTAGCAGCTTGCCACAGCCCGAAGTCTTATAGGATCTCTCTCTCGCTCTCCCTCTCCGTCTCTTTCTCTCTCTCATTCTTTCCTGTGCACGCTGCATGACTGCGCATGCATCACGGGTCTGGGCACGGCGCAGAGCCGCCCTCTGTTGGCCAAATCTTCGTCCTAAGAGTAGAATGCTAGCAGAGTTCGTGACGGCCACAACATCACGCCTGACAAGCACTTCTTATCGCCGACACGCCGCACATGGACTCCCAGCTCCGATCCTTCACCGGAAAAGCCAGAACACAAAGACGAATACATCCTACACGTTTCACGCATAACACGTGACCACCGTGCAGGAGGCTGCACTGATCTCCAGCGAGTCCGAGGAGGAGGAGGATGAGGCAGAGGCTAGCCGAAGTTGTACGGTTTCAGAAGCAAGCAGTATAATTAAGCAGCAACAGCGCAACAACTTAGCCGGCTCTCTGAAAGCCGTCCGCAGCCTCGCAGTTCCGCAACCTTGGGCTTACGCACTTGACCCTGGCAAGAAAGGGTCAGGTTTCACGGACCTTCATGCACAAGGATTTGTTCACTTTTGCGCGAGGAGGGAAGGGAGATGTGAGATGTGGAGATTGGGGCCGTGAACACACTAGATTGACTTTGAAGAGCCAGGACCTTTGGTGCTAGCACCTCCCCAAACTGATCCAAGCCGTTCGAATTAGGCCACTCTGTCTGTCGACGTCTCGCACAAGCCCCCCCAGCCCCGATCTATGGTCAAAGTGAGAAGCAAAATTTGCCCCCATGCCCAAATCAACCATTGAGCATGTGTTGCTTCAATCTGAGGACCGTCTGAATCTAAGAACATCTCATTGGCGGTGCCACTCGAAATGTCCCCGTGCCATGACGCATCAGAAATCAAAACCAAACCATCTCCAGCCCCCTTAAGCCCAAAGCTGTCGCCAGTGCAGCTTCGCGCCTCCAGTATCAGTGTTGAAACCTTCGAACCTCTGCAGCCTCAGTTGGATTCTCCGAGCTGTGGGATTTACTTACTAAATCCATGCTGTCTGCGAGAGTGAGAGTCGAGAGTTGAAACCTCGAGCCCGGCAGAGCAACAATGCCGAGATATGCCGAGTGGAGAAGTCGTAAGCCCGCCGCGCTCAGACGCCTTCGCTGCCATCGGAGCTTCGGCGCGAGCCCCTGCTGCCGCTGCCAGTACCCACTCGCGAAAGGCACGGCGACCAAAGTCTAGCTCCCTCGTTGTAGGCTCTCCAGGGGTTCGTGATGAATGTGATTGCTGCTGCCATTGTGTGGTGATGTTTGTTGTTTCGCAATTAGGAGCAGCATGGCCTTTAGTGCGCACTCTAGTGCTGCTTCAACAAATAAAAGTGTCAGACAGCCTACTGCGCACGCGACTGCAAAAAAAAACCTTCAGATTGAATTTAAGACTCAGCGCAGGTCCTCCGATTCGGAAAAGGAAGACGCGAAGGACAAAGCGACCATCAAGACGGAGGCCAAAAGTTGCCGTGCGACAGCTGGAGCTCGTGCGTGAAAGACCCCTCTGTGGTCATTGTGCCATGCTTCAGAGAGCACGTTGATGACCGCATCCTGTCCTTGCGATCTGCACCATGCCTGGATTCGGAGAGTCTTTTCAAAGACCTTCGACCCGGTGGCTTCGGTTTTGGGGGGCAACGTGCCTGTCCGCAGGACCCCAGAAGCCCCCCATCGAAGGAGAGGAGCGACTCGAGGTCCGGGCCTTGGTGCAAGGCAGATTTGTGCTCATTCTTAGCAGCGCAAGTGCTGAGAATCATGGAAGAACTGTAAAACCTCAAAGCCACGCCTAGACTGTGTGAATAAAATGCGAAACTTTCCCGTCGAGCTGTAGATGCTTGGTGCAGCTGCAGCTATAGCAGGTACCGCCCTGAGGGTAGAGGACAGGCTTAGGGTACAGAGCCAGAGTTGAACAAGCTGCCTTCCTTTCTGCAGCGGCAGAGGATCCCCTCCTGCCCTCCCTCCCATGGCTCTGCCCGTGCCTGCATGATGAGCCTGCTTTTCCTGGCCCCCTGCCGTGGCGAAACCCGACCGAGCTTCGAACATGAAGGGACTTGTTGCGTGATTCGGCCTTCTAGATTCTAGCCCACAGACAGGACATTGAGGGCCTGATCGAGGGGAGCAGACGGTGGGGCTTGAACTCTCGTCCTTTGTCTTGTCTTGGCTTACAGGCCCTCTTCGCTCCGGGAGAGGACAGCAGAGGCACCGCAACATGCCAACAAAGACGTCTTTGTCAGCGGATTGAAGCAGTTCGGTCCAAGCTGTTTTCGAACACTGGCACCGGGGAAGGGAAGGTTTGGGCAGCCTTGAAGTCTGCAAGCAGAGTGGACTTGTTGTGGGGCAGCGGGGCATGTCAAGCAATGCAGGCATGATTCACTAGTCACTAGTTGTAGCTCATGGTAGTGATCGCTTTAAGCCGATTGTGTTTGTGGACCGGGTACTTAGCGGAGGAGTTTGTGCATGGTTGGAGGGTGCGGCACAGTTTGGACCTGCGCTTTTCTGATGTGTATAAGCATGATGCGTTCATCTGCTTCATCACTATCCAAATACGATGTCTCAAAGTATCTGTTGCAAACAATTCCAGGAACCTCCGGCAGCGAAAGTTTCCTTGCTGCCCACACCTCCCCTGCAACAGGTGGGCTCGAAATTTCCGGCAGGGCATTGAGAGTGTAAGCAGTGATCGGTGTCAGTGCCTCTGCGACTCCACGGCAAACAAAATAGCATGAACACGTGCCGTGCTCCTTGTTCAAATCAAGCACATCCCTCCACGGTGCGGCGACAGAGCATCGTCATTATCACGAGAATTACAGTCAGCTAGAGCTTCCTGTAGTGCTGGTCAGCTCCACCTCCCGCTCCAGGCGCCCTCAGAAGAAGGCAGGCCTGAGAGGAAGGCGCACGATTTCCGTCTCTCCGATTAGCAAATCACCAGGGTTCGACATGCGATTCGGCAGATGTCACAGCTTCGCTGGGCTCATGCACATTTTCGTCCGATTGGTTGAGCAGTTTAGCAGTTTTTTCCAGCTGAAAACAGATTGCATTGAGGCCTCCAGGCTTAATCTAGGTAGGCCTTTGGGACATTTTGTATTTTCCCTTATTGGGCTTAAGAGGATCTTATTTACAAATATTTTTCAGAGGCTTTGAGGGGCCAACCTAGTAATTAGGAAGTTGTCAACATAAACCCACATCTCAACCTTGAGGCACTTGAACCAAGCCCTCACAAGCGAAATTCTCTGGGAGGCTGCCGCTTCGGCACCGAAGCCCACACCCAAAGCGGGAGTGGCCTGCAGCAAGTTTCTGGATGTTTTCAGGGAGCATGTGGACGACGGATTCCTGGCCGTTTTGCGTCCATATCTCGGAAGCTGATAAGATCCCCGTCCCATAAGCGGCCACAAGCTCGACACCCCAACCCGGCCAGGTGGTGAACCCGCTTCCGCCGGTGATACCTCGCCAGGCTTGCCAAACTGGGTATGTGAACTTGTGGCCTTGGGTGCACTGCAGATCCTCACAGATTCAGCGATTGAACCACAAAGCCAGGTTTCGGATGACAGGTCAGCACGAACCTGCAGGGAGCATATTTTCAGGGGGTCTCTTGGATGCCTGTGCAGGCAGGAGGCCTAGTCGTGATTTGCCTCGCGAGCATAAACTCCGAAATAAAATTAATCGCGATCACGAGCACCAGGAGGGCAAAACCACGTGCACTTACATTCAGCGAAATCAGCAAAGACACGGATCAGCGTGCAGGTCGCCACTCCTCCATCGAAACCGCCGGCGAAGCCCGCAGAGGCCATGATGGTGCGTCTTGCTACATGTGTTTGCTCTTTTGAGGGCACGACCGTCTGCAAAACCTGTTGCAACACGTGCTGTGCGAAGATAAGCTGCATGACGAATATGTATAGCAACTCTGCTTGAAAACGGGCATACCAAAAGCAGCGGCAGCAGATGCTTCTGCTGCTGCTGCTGCCGTTTTCTCCCACTACTGCCGCTACGACTACTCGCCAGTCACAAGTCAGAACTCCTGGAGGCTTCGGGATTCGGTTTGCCTGTAAGATGGTCACGGGTTGCGAACACTGTTCGATCAAATGAGACCTGCTGCATGTGTTTGCGAATCCGACCACACATGAAGCCCGTCGGCAGATTCTTTGTGGTGGTGCATGATGGTGCATGGAGGATCCCTCGCGGGTGTACTGTTATGCAACATAGGGCAAAAAGAAGCCTCAAGCCCTCCCTGGACCCGGAGCCTCGCCTCCGGAGTCCGAACCCGGCTATACCCATCCCAAGACATTGAACTTGAGCCTCTCCGAAAGGCTCCGACAGAGATCTCTGCGAAGTCGAGCGAGGCCCAGCCCAGCAGAACCGATAGTTTCCGGATCCAGCGTGCAAGCTTAAGGATTTGCTTGAGGAAAGGCTGCATAGTACGGGTGTCGGCCTGGCCGGATGCTGGTCAAGATCCTTGAGATCCACGCACGGATTTGTTTACAAGGCTTCGACGACCATGAGCTCGTCCCATCTTTCTGTTCTCCGCAGGTTGCCGCCGTGGTGGAGGCTCTGGCCAAAGCTCCGGAGGTGCCCGCCCAAGCGCTGCTTGAGAGTGCGTCGTTCGTGTTGTTAGGCGGTTCAGCTGGCCCATATTGTCAATTTGCCAGAACCAGTGAACGTGTGGGAGACAGGGGGGCGATCCTGAGCATTGCAGATTCGGGCGGAAGTCTCGGCGACAGGCGTTTTGAGCCACAGGAACTTTGCTCAGAGAATGAACCTCTCAACAGCGCCTCAACACAATCCCTTCTGTCCTTATAAGCCCCTTCCATGAACCCCTTTGCAAGCCTCGGAGCACCATGGAGATGGAGCTGCAGGCGGAGGCCCAAGATCCTCCCTCGGAGGCGCCGGCCAAGAGCTGTACCAAGGCTGGATGCTGGCATTTTGATCTCTCGAAGGCTAGTCTCCGCATGCGAGCTCTTTTTAGAGGTCCTCAAGCTCCCGCCTGGCAAGTATGTCTGCCTTTTTGCCTGGCTGCCTGTGGTCATATATACCTGCGCTTGTCTGTAAAATATACTCGCCTGTCTATTCCTGAATCGACTGCTGTCGCGTGTCGCTTTGCCAGGGTGCCGAGCCAGATTCTCGCCAGCCCTCAGCGCAAAGCTCGCGGACCACGACGCTCTGCTTCTTTCGGAGTCCCTGCAGCTGAAACTCCTACCACCAAAACCCTTTTAAACCTTCAGGTAAAACTCCTACGTGTAGGTTGGGAGGCCTGGGCCCGAAACGATCTCGGTGTGCCGATGCAGCTTGCATCTCGCATTCTGTTGTCATGGAGTTCCTCGCATGTGTGCCGACACCAGGTCTCACAAAACAAGTCCAGAAAGCCCGGAACACCAAACCATACCAACCCAAACTTGGATTGTCCAAAGGAAAGGACAACCAGTTTAGGTCGAAGGGGCCTATAGACTCAAGCCCTAAACCCAACTTCGCTCAGGACTCCTAAGGCTGGAGCCAAGCGCCGCCCGGCGCCACTGGCACCGAAGGCACCTGCCAAGAGTCGATGCCTTACTGAGATTGTGTTCAAGTCTACGTAAACGTTGTTTGCCAATGAACTTGCAGTTTAAGTAACACCATTTCTCTTTTAATCAAAGGATATTGCAACAGACCACAGACGATGATGTAATGAGCGACGTGTAGTAATTTAGTAATGTAGTATCGGGCAGTGATGTGTGGAACCGCAGAATCCAGTGCAAGGCAGCTTGCCTGAACGAGGTGTGATGAGGGGGAGCCAGCATCAACAGTCATCAGGTACTTGCGAAAAGACATCGCCAAAAAGGTCATCGCATCAGCACAAGGGCTATAGTGTCATGACCGTAATACTATAGGAGCAAAATCCAAATGCCAGCTGAGAACAGCATCTGCAGCATACCTGCAGAAACACACACATTCGAGTTCCTGAGAGCCATGTTCTTGTTCTTGTCATAGCAAGCAGTGCAACGGCACAGTGGGCGTCACCGCAGTGCTCCTGTTTGAGTAACGATCCCATCGTGTGGTGTGGGCACTATCACTATCTGTTCAACCTGGGCAGTAGACTCAGCGGATTTGAGCATCCCTTGGATGGAGATGTTTCAGGAGAGGGTCGAGGCCAAGCCTTTGGGGCCGCAGTGTGCGTCCTCAATGCTTGGGTTCTCAGCGGGGTTGCGACCAGAGAGGTGACTAGAATGTTGCTTCGAGTTACCGAAATCATGCGGAAAGCCCGTATGTCGAGCCCAGACGAAGAACAGAACATCTGAGGCGCGCCGAATGCCGTGCGCGTCGGCGGAGGGTTCAAGGCTGGTGTTGTTTCAGCACGTAGACTTAGCGAGGCTCAGTGCACAGGTTGTCCGTTCTGGAACGGGTCAAGCTGCTTTGAAGTGATAAGGATGTCAATCAGAATTCTCACCGCATGTTTCGATTTTAAACTGGATGGCTGGATTGAACTTCTTTCGGTTCTTCAGATGCCACCTCACGCAGCAGCTTGAGTCCATCGAAAGCAGTGGCAAGTAGCAGTCATACCTGCGACCTCTGACCTGACCTCGTAGTACTGCTGCAACATATTTTAGGGTCTGCTCTTGACTTTCCCATGTCTTGCGACAACAGTGCCCATCAGGATACTGCTAGATTGCGGCCGGATGTCTCGTAGGAGGGCACTGTCAGATCGGGGCTGATTTGGAGCCGCACAGTTTTGGTCGCCAAGATCCAGGTGCTGGCGCCCAACCCGCCGAAAGCCCCAACGCCTCCAAAGGCAGGAACGGCAGGGTTTGTGAAAAGGGTCGGGGGAGCATTTTGCTTACATCTTCGCAGACAAGGTCAGATGCTGTTGGCCAAGCGAGTGGGATGCTCTGATGCTTGCTGTGACGGCACAGCTGCTCGCAGTTCGGACGATATTGTCAGAACATCGAACTGACTTGAGGGATGGCATAGGATGCACTCTCATTCGTGTGTGCCGTGCGACCAGGACCATTAAAACTTGTCGAAACCCCTCGGGCTGTCTCTGGCTTGGCCTTTGCGTGGATATCGGAGCTCGTTTGCAGAAGTGGGATTTCTGTATGTGAGCCGAATAGGTTCTCTTCGATCCAACCTCGGCTCAAAAGCTTCAGAGAAAGAGGCCGGCAGACGGCCGAAAGCGAAGGCGAAGACGAAGGCTGGCAGCAGCTTTTTTTGGTCAAGTCAGGGCAGTGACTTGACTATAGCAGCTGAAGGAGGTCCTTGCACCAATCTTTGATTTCCCGCGGGTGTGCCTTCTGACAGCTTCCTCGCCCAACCTTGAGCACTGCATGCACATGAGCTTCAATTGGGGGGGGGGCATCGGACCGTAGAGCACACGCACACGTACGTATCAGATACATTATGTAATAAAATGTAACAAGTATATGTATGTATGCACATTGTAAATGTACCTGTACATGTACATGGTATATACAATACGTGCTCCTATGCTTGTTTCAGAGTCCTTAGAGCTCGCAGGATCTCGGCTCGAGTCCTAAAGCTCGATACCCGGCGCTTCTTTGCACCTGAGCAATGGCCGAGGAAGGAAAGGCGAAGTGATTTGTTGGTCAAACTTGGTCTCAGGGCTATTTGGTCTCGGGGTAGAATGTGTAGTCTCGGGGATGTAATGCTCGAGGGTCTACCAGACCCCCTAAACCCTAAACCGGCCTTGCCTGCTTGGTGCGAGTGTGAGAGTCGAAACCCTAAACCGGTACTAGGCTGTTGTGCCAGTGTAGGGGAAAGGGCCAAGATGTTTTGTATACGGAACGGTTTAGGAAACTCGAACCCTGGGGAGTTCGAGAGTGAAAGTGCAGGCTCTGCCATGCCTGGAGCAGGTTTTTGATACCACCAACTTTACAGCTCTTAGGAATTATGCTTCATTTTTCGATAATATACCCTCAGGGGATTAACAAGAAGATTAGTTTTAATCTGGTTCTGAGGGCGGATAAGCCAAAGCCTGTCGCGCTTGTAAACTTTACCGAAGGTGGAGGAGAAAGACAACTTCGACGTGGGCCCGCTCTCCGTTCTACAGCCACCCGGCTTTCACGCAAAACTCCCAATTGTCGGTTTTGTGCTAGTGCTATGGCTATTTGGTTCTGAACCCGTACTGTGGAGAGCACTGAGCTCGAAGATGCATGTGGGCAGGCCTTGCAATACTAGGTGCATCAGCTGGCTCGGAAGACCACGATGTAGGAAAGTAAGGACCCGTAGGCGCTTGCAAGATTTCAATCTCCTTGTGCCTTGCTCCAGCAACTCTTCAGGAAGTGCGTGAAGGACAACTCCCAGGCCTGTGTCGCTGCAATGGGGTTCGAATTGCGGTAATATTGAAGCAGAGGCGCAAAGTCAATCCGAACCAATCTCTACTTGCAGGCTTTTGAAGACCTCTTGGAAGTTGGTCCAGTTTTTCAAGCCAAAGGAGGAAACCGGGTGTTGCTGTAGCTTCCCCCGAGTCTTGCAGGTGCTCATCAACTGCCGCAACAATCGGAAGATCCTGGCTCGCGTCAAGGCGAGTCCTGGTCTTCCTGGGCTCCACCTGGGCAGTTCTCTAAATAAAATAGAGTCCCTTTTTTTAGGTCCCCAATACAGTACGGCACAATTATCATAAAAAGGACCCTATTTTTAGAAGGGGCCCTATTTTAGAAAACTACCCACCTTGGGTCTTATGGTCAAGGGTTTTCGGGGTTCCGGATGGCCCAGATTGGGACTTTGGGATCTGCAGATCAGTCTCGTGCAAACCGGACAAGAAATCAAGAATTAAGGAGGCCGTTTATAAGAGAGGAGCTTAGAACGGATGCTTCATGCCGCAGCCATGTTTTGACGAGTTTACTTGTCGGTATAGCTGTGATATATGTCTTGGTGCATGTATGTGCGTATTCATACTTGATACATGCGTGCTGCATACTTATGCATGTAAACGTCACGTGTCGTTTGTCTGTGCTCACTGTCAGCAGATGTAGGTGTGCTCCTTCAAGAAGGGTTTGAGCCTTCGATGGTGACGAGGGCTTTGACTTTTCTTGGCAGGCCTTCGACCGCCATTCGAACATGGTGCTGGAGAACGCCTGGCGCTCAAATGTTCTTGGCAAGCATGGGCCCCGCCTGCAGCTTGCCACTGTTCTCCGTCAATCCTTTTGCGTTACTGTGTGCCAGTGCAGACAAGAACTATTTTTGCGTGAAAGGGCCCGACACAAAGCACACCGGACGTGAAGTCGGTGCGAAGTGCAAATCCCTGAGACATCGAAACCTTGCAGGTGCGCGAGATGTGGACTGAGACCCCGCATGGCGGCAAGAAGAAGGCCAGTCATCAAAGCCTTCGCATGACCAGGGCGTTCCTTGAAGGTCCCCGCTTACACATGTGTCAAGATAGTTCAGGACTGAAGTAGTCTTCCACATATATTGCATGGCTCACGCATCCCCAAGGAGCAAGAAGCCGTGACAGATAGGGCCGCCTTTTGGCTGCCGGTGCTGTTTTCAAAAGGTTACGTTGCAAGTAGCAAAGGAATTTACATTTAATCAGTATCCATGGCTGATGTTGGAGACTGACAGCATCGCGGGCTTGTGTGGTGACCGAGCGTTACGGACTTTGTGAGTGTTTCGAAAATCAACTTGTTTTAGTTTGCAAGCTCTGCAAACCTCCATGGCGTGTCCTGCGTGGGAGGCCAAGCCAGTCAACAAGGATCGCTTCATCAGCAAAATGTTCCTCCGAGGGGATTCTGTGATTCTGGTCTTGCGCAACCCGAAGTGAGTGGCTGCTTCGACAGGTCATAGGTCAAGGGCAGCACCGACACTGACCGAAACTAAGCCAACTAAGCTTTCAACCTCCCAAGTGCCTTGCAATGGCCTTCCCCCTGCGATTGGTGCAGCTTGGCCGGGTCGGTTTGGGATCGAAGTGCGCGCTGGGTGTATGGCGCTGGAGCACTAGAGCTGTCCGTAGTGCAGGGATGGGATGGCAACCATGGCTGTCGTTTCTGCCAGAATTTTGACATCAACGGCAGTCCCGAAAAGAGTGGATGCCGACACTCTGGAAGCCCCTTCACTCAATCCCTTCGCCTTGACTGGGGCTAGGAGCAGACTTGGAAGATGAGCTTTGCAGTACCGTTACAGTTCTTGCTTCTGACCATATAGTCACTCGTTACATGTCGCAGTCAATTTTGGTGCCTAAATAAATATAGTTACCAATATTGTTTCTGGGGATCCTTTGTATAAATCTAGTACAATACATCCCAAAACCCTATTCTGATTATTCAGGCCCCTACGGACGTGGTTATGTGTTCGTGGTTGTGTCAGTTGTACCTGCTGGTCTAGAGAAATACTGTACCGTTCCTTAGGCTTCCGTGCTGCTATATGGTGAAATATAATATGCTGTTCTAACGATTCAGGCCCTTGTATTAGCCACCACCGGCTCGCCCCTGCCCTATGTTTTCGATGTTTCTGGCAGAAACGGCCCTGCGTCGCCATGTATCGATACAGTGGGTGGCTGTTCCTGGAACTCTAAGCTGTAGAGTCAAGGTGGAGTTTCCTCCGTAATGACGGCTCAATTTGTTTTGATAAGCAGTACGAGCACCAAAGCGCAAAGTTGGAACACGGAATGTATAGACTCGCAAAGACTCACGGCCCATGCTGAAAGCATTTGTAATCGCTAGGAGAGAGCGAGGCGGAGAGAGAGGGTGCGCTAGGTCACCCCCTACATACCTGCATGGCGGAAAATTGACGAAAGGAACCCCCTGAATCAGCCATGGTTTGGTTTGATATGTTTCGATGCTCCTCAGCCACCCGCGATCCATCGGCGCAAGAGGAAGGCATGAACCGACTCCAGCGCTTCTATTAGCTCGGTGAAAAAAGACTTCGAGTTCCGAGAGTGGGGGGAATAATGACAGCGATGATACGTAGAAATGGAAGCCATCAATATTCCTTGTGTTGTTCCAGTTCTTCTTGCTCTTGTTTTTGTTTTTGTTGCTGTTGCTGTTGCTGTTGTTGTTGTTGTTGTTGGTGGTGGTGGTGGTGGTGGCGGCGGCAGTGGTGATTGCAGTGTTGGCATTCGGTGGCTTGTCCGGGTCAGCTTGATGACATCTGGGATGGTTGGGATGGGCGAATGTTACACAGCATGGGGAGTTGAAAATGTTGAAAGGGAGTCTTCAGTGAGCTCAGGGCTGATGCGTGCCTGTGTGCAATGCTTTGCGTGAAGGCTGCCAGTTCCATCGCTGAGGAGGCTACGGTGGTCGAGCAGGCGCCCATGGAAGCCCCGATTTTTGTGTAATTGTATTCTCACCTTTACCTGTTGGCGGATGTTCTGGAGCATGCTCGTGTGTGACCTGCGGAAGTGTAAAGATGGCTTCTGGGACACAGTCCCAATGTCTCATGCACCTCTACTCCTCAAGCAGCCCCTCCCCCCTTCGCTGCAAAAGACGAAGGCAATGGATTATTATGATGGTGAAATCAAACCTTCCTATTTGTGATAAGGTTCGAAAGCTAAGCCTGTTGTCTCTGACGAAGCCCGCAGCCACCAAATCCATTCCGCTTGCACCGAATCGCTGGAAGAGGACGGACCGGTGGAGATGGTGCAGGAGCTCGAGCAATCGGCGCCCCCACCACAGGAGTGGAGATGCAGTGTGATGGTGCCCCTTTCTGTGATCTTTCAAGTTCGTCTCTTCTGTGATGATTGCTCGCAATTACAGACTTTCTCTCGCCACTGTTGTTTTGGGTAGTTTCCCGGCGAACCCTGAACTCCTGAGAAACCTTTCCTGTCACGAGTGAAAGAGTCGATACAACTGCCTGAGCGACCCCACGTGGTACTACAGAGGCCAACCTGATTCCCAATACTGTTTTCCAGGTTCCCTAATTATAAGTCTTGTAAGTAAACTGTACCATTCCCCAAACACCCCATTTTTTTAATCTTTAAGGCCCCCTAGATTATGCAGGAGGAGTTGAGCCATGAGCAGCTGAAGCAACGAGCCTGTCAGGCAATGGCCGGGGTCTCGGCATGTGATGTACCGCTAGGTTTTTTGAAGAGCTTTGGGGCTTTTTAGGGTTTGGGGAAATCAAAAATAACCGGTAAGGCCTGTAGTGGGGTTTATGAAGCTTTGGGGTTATTGGACCCTTATGAGGGTTTAATGCTTTTGGGTTTTGCACGGTTTGCGTTGCCAGCAAGACTTGGAGGTGTTAAGTAGTTTACTAAGCAGGGCGGCAAAGTAAGCAATGTCCTTAGGTCCGCAAAGTGGACACTCCGAACACAGCAGTGTTCGCAATGTTCGAGTTACTTTAGTTCCCCTGGGCGTGATCAACACGAGGTCACCGCCGACCACTTCTTGGGCTTGCCGCTTGGACCCTTCATCTCAAGGGTGTAGAAGGCTTGGCTCTCGTCTGATATAGTCCACTTTGGGGTCCTCAAACCGAAAGGTTTGCTTAGATGGGGTGCCAACAAAGGCCTACCATTTTGAGCGGCCCTCCGGTTGGCAGCTTTCCTGTGAGCGAACAGAGGCAAGGAAAGTCCATGATTCGGAGTAACCCTCCGTGGTTTTGGGCCCCTCGGCGACTGTTGGACACTTACTGAGGTGCCGGTTTGAACGGGCTGCCGATCTCTTGGAGACCCAGCTCGAAGCTATCTCCGATGAATCCTGTCCGCTTTGTCCCTTGGCATGCAACCCTGAGCTCGAAGCTCTATAATTCTATAATGTATGATATATAACATAATCTATAGTAGATAATATTTAATAAAAAAATTATGTATTATATATAATCTCATCTTCACCCATAGCCTTCGGATCTAGCCCGGTCTCTCCATGCAGACGTCCTTCAGACCCTGAGCCTGAGTCGAGCCCATCTTTTCTAAACCCCGACGTCGGTGAAGGTCGACTGGGGACACGAGGGAGTGGACGGGAGTCGTTTTGAGTTTCCTGCCGGCCTCACGAGCTTCCAAGGTGTAGAGGCCCGCGGTTGAATGAAGCCTGTCGCTGGGGATTATCCTGCGATCGGGTGTCAGGCAATAGCGACTTGCACGTGGAGCTTCTCACAAAGTATGGAGGCCGGGCTCTAGGCGAGGTTTCAGGCGTTTCGCTCTTGGTTTTGGCCGTTTGGGGTTTGGCATGCAAAGTTGAAGATCTATTGGTGCTCCATATTTCAGAGTTTTGAGACGTCGTGGTTGGGCTGCTCTCTGAGCAACTTCCCGACCCGAGAAGTTGACTGATCGAGTCAAGCTGAGCATTCATCAGGCTGCTCGCAACTGCAGCCAGAACAGAGTTGCAGGCATCCTCTGGTGGGACGGAGATGGGGAGGGCGCCATCGATGCCTACACTGCTGCGGACGAAGTTCTTGCGGAGCGAATGCAGGTCTGGTTTAGCCCGCTTCGTTTCTTCATTGCTCATGAGATGGCAAAAGCAAGGTACTCTCGGTGAACTTGTGGTGAGAAGTCTACTTTCAAGATTGCATGCTTTCGGAAGGCAGAGAAGGATCTGCAGCTTATGCGGCGGCGTGCGCAGATTTGGGGCACCTGGGCTCGTCTGATGCTAATGATGTATCCGAATGGTTTTGCTTAAGGCTTAAGCCTGTCCTTCCTCTGTAACATTGACCATTGCAGACTTGATGGCCCTTCCCAGACCTTCTCGTTGGCATCTCCTCTCAATTCGTGTATGGTGCTTTGATGTTGGGCCGGTCGTGGACTCCTCGCACTGGCTACCGAGAGTCCTGCGAATAACCCGAAATCGAATCCGCGGACGCCTTGCTTCATAGATCCTCCTGAGATCCGAAGCTGTCCAAAGCTCCACGCAGTGAGCACACTTGCCCTACAAAGCTCTCACAACTCCTGTGACAGCTCTTCGGGAATGGTTTGAAAACTTAGGCCCCTAAACCCTACCTACACTCTGAACGCCTTAGTCAATCTTAAGTTCTAAAGTGAAAAACCCGCCAAACAATCCCTAAATCGCCCTAAATCTGCCACACGTGCTCGCCTTCGAGCTCCGAGGCCTCATGGCCCAGGTCTACCGCCGCGCCGGCCGTCTTGGTGCTGCTGCCTGGGGCCTCGGAGAAAGCATACACATGAGCATATACATGAGCATGTACAAAGACTCTAGCTTCAGCATGTATATACGACATGGCTTACTAGGTTTTGCTTGCTTATTTTTCCATTTATCTGTCGAGCTACGGCAGGGAGAGGGAGAGGGAGGGAGGGAGAGAGCGAGAGAGAGTAGGTAAGGGGAGCAATCCCCTTGCCCATAGCCCTGGCGAAGAGGGAGTTAGTTACACGACCCCTACGCCCGAGAGAGAGAGAGAGAGAGAGAGAGAGAGAGCCGGGGGGTCTAAGCGACCCCTCATGCCCTGGGGAAGAAGAGAGAGAGAGAGCGAGAGAGAGGAATGCGTCATCATTGAGTCTATGTTTGTGGATTCCGGAAATAATTTTTGGCTGCAGAGCCTGCCGAGGCATAAGGGGCTGTGGAGATGGGGATGTCGAGCCCAAACCCGGAATCCTCAAGAGCTCAAGCCCAAAGTCCCGAAACCCCAGAACTCAACCCCAAAGTACCTCTAAACCCCTTAAAAGCCAAAATCCTAAGCGAGGAGAAGAGTGGAACCCGAAGCCGCAAAGCCCCAAAGCCCCAAGCAAGGAGCGTCGGCTTGCAGCAGCGACTGCGACCTTGGAGCTCATGCTGCTTGGCCAGGGTTTTAGGAACCCTAAGCTCTCTTCGGGCTTAAGGCTTTTCGGGCTCGAGTTATGGCCTGGGAAACTGTCCTACAGCGGAACCCGCCCCTGTGAACAGGGTCTCCAGCTGCAGGGCTTCAGAGATGTTCTGGGGCTGCACGTCACGGCAAAGTCGCCGAAGTTGGAGGTGATTTCTTCGGTTTGACCCGGGCTTGGGAAGAGTGCGTGGGGCCATCTTCGTTCCAAGGGGGGCTTGGGGGTCTAGAGCTGGCCCCACGGTTGCGGTTCAAGCAGTGCAGGTGCCGGCTATGGCATCTCATGAGCTTGCATGCCTTACGTGCTGCAACAGCTATACTGTATCGCATGTTGTCTTAAACATTGAATGCATGTAGAGCAATAGGTGAACGTTTTGAGCCGAGGAATGCCAGGTTTAAGTGGAATGTGCAGGAGGAAGAGGAGGAGGCGGAGGAGCAGGAGGCGGAGGAGGAGGAGGAGCAGCAGCAGCAGCGATGGTCGCGGTAGTGGCGGTGACAGCAGCGGCGGCAGTCGTAACAGGTTTTGCAGTAGTGGTAACCCGTAGCAGTCGTCGTCGTAGTAGTAGTAGTAGTAGCAGCAGCAGGAGTCGGAGCAGAGAAGGAGCAATAAGAATAATAATTATTAGGTGCTAGCAGTAGTCGTCGTGGCAATAGGAGTAGTCGTAGCAGTAGTAGCAGTAGCAGTGGCA